GAAAATAGACAAAAAAAAAAGAAAAAAAAAACGCCGACTGAAAAATGTATATCGTTTAAAAGTATATTGATTGACCAGTGTTATTACGGCTCAGGGGTATGACTTCCTCTCACATTTTGGCATTTGGTGGCGCACTTTCGGCGAGAGTCGGAAATCCGGAAACAGTCGACCGTTTCAGGATAGGTGGGCGTGGCTACAACACGAGAAATATCCCAAATTTACTTGGATACGAGTAATCATTTTAAGCAAAAAAATCAATAGCTGCCCATTTCAGTGGGATACAGATCTGAAATGGGAAACATGAGGGTGGGCATTGCACAGGCACTTTAAACATATACCTTGTTGTTATGGTATTGAAATACCTTAATAAAACAGCATCTTTGCATAATTTTCTCTTGAACAAGAAGCAAAATTTGTTTTTTTGAGTTCATGTATGACGACAGTTTGTGTTTTTTTTAGGTGCTTGGTATTGTACAAAACATGAGTGTGTTTGAATGTCCAAATTGTCATCATAAGACCCATATATTTGGAGATGACGGTGCTAGAAATATTGCTAAAGAGATGAACTTGGAAGTCCTTGGTAAGTAAGAAATTAATTTACATACAACTGAATAATCCAACTACAATAAATTACAGATACCCCATGGAATACCATCACCGACTCGATCAGAACCCTCTTCATGCAAGCAGGCATCCCGAGTGCGGAGAAATACTCATCACACAGCTTTCGTGCTGGAGCTGCCACAACAGCTGCCGAAGCCAACCTTCCCGACTGGCGCATCAAGACCTTTGGACAATGGCACAGTGACTCATACCAGCTCTACATTAAGACTCCAGCCACAACCCTTCATGCAGTGCCAAGGATCCTCACCAACCACACCGAACCTCAGAACTAAGCCAACCTACTCACAATGTTTTTTGAACAATGCTATTAAGACATGTTATTCTTTTGCTGGCTCTGCTTGTATTTCACTTGCAATCCGCACTAGTCATTTTTACATTTACCAACCATCTCCGATCAACATTGTATACAGATCTTTCATTTCAATTGTTATTCACTCGCAATTTTTATTCGTAATTTTTAATTTTACTACATTGTAATTCCTGCTCTGTAACCATGTGCTCTTATCCCATGAAGGCTCTCCATATTCAAGAACAAGTGATGCTTGCCTCACCACATCATGCGAATTGTTCAATTCCACCACTGCCTTTTTAATTTGGGGGAAATGCCACACAGAGCATGCTGGTTCTGGTCAGCTACGACATTGCCCTTACCATGACATGAGCCAAATATATCTTGGTCTCCTGTCATGGGGTCGGCCGCTACGACACCTGATGCAGAGCCACTGTGTTGGCAGGTGTTACTTGGGTAGCATGCGTCACCACCTCATAATGACACTCAGTGGTTTTGACAATCACTATTAATAAAGTTATACATAAAGTACCAGAATGTATGCTCTCATGCATTGTACACTACAGTAATTTGTCCTTGATACTTCACGTACAATACTTTTGCTGTCTGATGCATTTGTACATAAATTCTGATATTTTGTGAATAACCTCACTATCTCTGCTAATAACAGTTGTCTGTTTTCTACATAGTGAACATCCCTTTGCACATGAGTATCCGGGAGACATCAGACATGGGAAAGCCAATTACAGTGTCTCAACCTCAATCTTCTCAAGCCATGGCATACAGAGATTTAGCTGAATGTGTTGTTAACAAAATACCAAATACCAAGAATACAGTCAGATGAAATGCTGGCAACATGGTTTTCTGATGTCTGCCTTGATTGTTGATGACATTGGAAATGCTATTATATTGCTGTACTATCTGTAGTTGGACATAATTGAATAGCTATTTACTCTAAAGATCAGTATTATAAATCCCTGTATCACTAACTGTTATGCATGCCATGTATGTAATCAGTTTGTATATTCTCAAACAGTATGTAGAGAAAACAGAATTAGGAGACAGTCTATTTTATATCACTGCCATATGAGAATTTCAGACTGGATAACCATATTGATCATTTTTCAGTAGTTTGATAAATTAATGATTTCTCTGTTTTTTTTATACTTGTAAGTTGGTCATTTGATAAAAAGGTTATCACATAATATAACTTATTTGTGAAGCTGGTTGTATTATCCAGTCACCTATGGTTCAGACATTAATTGGGATTGGCGCCCTCTATCAAGACAAGTTGTGAAAGTCTGCTTAGACAATTGCTGCTGCCCCTATACATGTATGTGTCATTGCACTTAGTACAGCCATATGGCTAGTAATTGTCTGGTGTGATGTGATCGTTTGTATGTCTGTTGAAATGGTCTACAATAGATGTGTACCATAGATATATTCATAAGATGACAGTGCAATCAATGAACATAACACACTATTGTTAATAAGCTGAATTAAATCTTGTGTTTAACAAAGATCCATCCTGACTACACAATTGTGGTTGTATAAATGTAAGCTATCGTGGGCAGTTGCTAACCAATGCAATGTGGGTATATATACCACTAGACAAACTTGAAAGTGCATTTCAAAAGTTTTGAAGTGGATAAGACACTTGAACCCTAATCACATTACTGATTTGAAAATTTGGTTGTCTGTTAATGTTACATGTGTTATCTAGAATTATATTTGTGTGTGTGTGTACCCATTTTTGAATCAGATCAAGATGCTGCATGTACTAGAATACTGTAAACCACTTTACTTTATAAGAGACAATTTTGTATGGAGATTTTTAACAGTAAATATTTCTCTGAAGTTCTACATCACAGTGTCAGTGACTTTTGTGAAATTTTGTCTGAATTCTATAAAATCCGGAAATTATGTCTGGCAGTGAAAAATGTATACAATATATCATTGGATAATAATTGGTTTAGTCAAAAATGCAAATATGAGACATGTATTACAAAATTTAGAATCTGAATAAAATAAAAATGAGATATCACAAAGTATTCCAATGAATAGCTTGATATAAACATGTCAAGGGGTCAGCATGTGTGTGTGTGTTGTTGTACCAAAACATACATATGTCCATACATATAGATTTTGCTTCAGTCACTTGCCACTGCTGGTGCTATAGTAGCCCCATTATCATTGAAAACAGCATACAGATACTGGAATCTAGGTAGTCTGTCAAGGCAATGCACAAAACAGTAAGAAAAGTGAGTATATTGCACCATATTTAAATGATAGAATGTAAAAGTTTGTGAGGCGGGTGGGATTTAATTCTTATTACTTAAGGTATAGATGCAGGTTTGTGGGCACTCGGGTGAAATTTGTTTTTTTAGGTGAATGGAAAGTACCAACGAGTCATTGGCAGTAATAAGTGCACGTACCGCCCAGGTCAAACCTCATACACAAATGTTGCCACATGCATAGCAGGATGACTACCGCTCTTTGACATGAAATTTACAATTTATGGGAAAACCATGGCATTGGCCAGAACCATATGCATGGTGTTGAATAGATGTTAAACATAACATTGTACTTGCCTTGCTGCCTTTGTCTGAAAAAAACGTATTACGAGTATATTCAATACTATATTCATATTTTGGCCACATTGTATTTCATGGAAAGTACCCAGCCCCACAACACAATCTTGAAAATGGGATATAAATTTGATTACTAGTCACGTTTTGTCAAAATTAACTACCCCTTTCATGTACTAGTGTACATAAATTCGAATGAATTGAATCATTTGACAGCAAGACGAAAAACAAATGCTGTCGAGAAACCTAAACAAGTTGTGTTTTTAAACTTTTTTTCAAGGAAGTCTCTCTGTAAACATGCTAGATATTTAAAAAACTCCAATTTTTACCTTTAAACACATAGCGTGCCTGGCCGAAATATTTAATATCAAATCAAATATGGATCGTTCAATTCCTTCTAGCTCTTTGGAACAGATAAAAATGATGAAGGTGTTTATTTTTTTTTTGCATCTGTAAAGAATGAATTATAGTTGTATCTCTGGTATCTATTTGTGTGTGTCAATACAATTTCTAAACTAAAGATTAAAACACCAAATTCAACAGGATTTGGTGAGAAAAGTACAATTTCACACTACGAATATGTGGTTCACACTAAATATATGTTTTCCACTTTACTTATTTAATGCCACAAGATTTTAGACAAAATCTATTGTAGTATGACTAAAGGCCTGCAATGGCCAATCAAACTCGCTGATAG